GGGGAGGGGCACTCACGCTGTCCCACGCGCAGGGTGACCCTCATGGCGCGCGTCAGGCACGCCCCGCCCTGCCGGTTCTCCAGCCCCTCGGGGGTCCCGTCCGACGTGGCTGGGGGGGGAGGGGTGCGGTGACGTCATCGGTGACGTCATCGCACGTGTCATAACCCCCCTGACCTCACTGGGGGTCTGGTCACACCCACCCCCTGCCTTGATGTCATCGCCCATGGTGGTGATGTCACATCTTGTGATGTCATCGCCCACCCCAGTGACATCACAGCCTTGCGCATGGATGACATCACAGTGCTAGCGATGACGTCATAGTGACATAAATCCTGACCTATGGCTGGCTGACATCTCCCTCATGGCATCACGACATTCATCGCACTCCCTTCTGATGACATCACACCCCAGTGACATCACACCCCTATGACATCACCCCCAGCGATGACATCACTCCCCAGCAATGACGTCACCCCCAGCAATGACACCACCCCCCCAATGATGACATCACCCCAAGCGATGACACCACCCCATTGATGACGTCACCCCAGCGATGACATCACCCCAGCAGTGACATCACCCTAGTGATGACATCACTCCCACCAATGATGTCACCTCCAGCAATGACATCACCCTAGTGATGACATCACTCCCACCAATGACGTCACCCCCAGCAATGACACCACCTCCAGCGATGACGTCACCCCCAGTGAACTCATCACCCCACCAATGACGTCACCCCAGTGATGACGTCATCCCCAGAAATGACATCACTCCCAGCAATGACATCACCCCAGCAATGACGTCACCCCCAGCAATGACATCACTCCCAGCAATGACATCACCCCAGCAATGACGTCACCCCCAGCAATGACATCACTCCCAGCAATGACATCACCCCAGCAATGACGTCACCCCCAGCAATGACATCACTCCCAGCAATGACATCACCCCAGCAATGACGTCACCCCCAGCAATGACGTCACCCCAGCAATGACATCACCCAGCAATGACATCACCCAGCAATGACATCACCCAGCAATGACATCACCCCACCAATGACGTCACCCTGCAATGCCACCCCCCCGGCGCTGACGTCACGGCTCACTGATGATGTAATAGTCGTGCTGGCGGCGGAACTCGTGTCCCCAGAGGTTGGGGCTGAACTCCTGGAACTTGATGGTGAAGCGCACGTCGCGCTGGGGGCGGTCGCAGGTCAGCAGCAGCGTGGGCGCGGGCGGCACCTGGCAGCGCCGCGCCTGCGCCCCGCCCACCAGGTACAGCTTGTAGTACTCGTAGCCCGCGCCGCCCGGGCACACCAGGTCCAGGCGGTCGCCGATCTGAGGGTACAGCACGTAGCCGCCAGCCTCCAGGAACCTGGGGAGACACGGGGACATCCTGTGTGACATCATCTGTGTGTGACACTGTGTGATATCATCTGTGTGACACTGTGACACTCTGTGTGTGTGACACTGCGGGTACAGCACGTAGCCGCCAGCCTCCAGGAACCTGGGGAGACACGGGGACATCCTGTGTGACATCATCTGTGTGACACTGTGTGTGTGACACCGTGTGTGTGACACTGTGTGACACTGTGTGTGACACCGTGTGTGTGTGACACCGTGTGTGTGACACCCTGTGCACCCCCGAGCAGGAGCAGCT